GCGGGCGGGACATTTCGCCCGCGAGTACCGAACCGTGTAACTCATTCGCGCTTATTGACGGCTGACACTCCGCCGGCGCATTTGCTTGTGACATAAGTCGCTCGACGCGTTTTTAACGAAAAAGCAGGCGACGTCTCCCCGAGAGCGCCACCCCGGCGGCATCTCTCGCGGTCGTATCGGCTCGGATCGATCCTCGGGTAATCCTTCGGGCGCCGAGATTAAAAATGTTGACCCTCGTTACTATTTCCCGACGACGCGCTCCTCGCACTCCTTTCACCCGTAACCGTCCGCAATCTTATCACGTACTGCGGCCGAGGAGAAACGCTCGCTCGCGGGCCCGGCCACGTAGCAACGTGATGATGCATAGTTCACGAGCTTATATATTCTTCATACCGGGCTCCACCTTGTTCTTCTTTTCAGAGGGTCTCGTCTCGTATTCCATGCCCCAAGGAATCAAGAGGGGCTCCGAGGTTGACCTTTCCGACAGAACGTACGACGGCCGGGAGGAAGGAGGTTACCTCTCCGGGGGACTTGGTCAACTCGTCGACGGGCAAAAGGGTCCCGACAACTTCAGATTGGACGTCAGCGGCAACGGCAAGGGTAAGGAACGAACGAAGCCTGGCGCGAAGCAAAGAGGAATGGTAGGAGGGGGGGGGGGAGAGGGACGCTGTGAAGCGCGCTCTTCGTGCTGGAACGAGATTAGCGCCGGCGCTAGATCGTGTCTAGATTAGCGTGATAGAGCCGTCTCTCCGAGCCTCCCTCGCTCGTCCGGTCGGTCCCGTCTCGTCTGGTCTCGTCGAGCCTCCTTCTTATTCTCCAACGCTGTCCCGGTATCTCACGCTATCCCGGCTCGTTAACTTCTCCTTCTTCGGCGAAACTGAGCGAACCCGAACGAGTCTCGCGGGGCGATCTCGCGACACGCCTCCGGGCCGCACAACCCCCGCACGTCAAGACCTAATAACGCTCGATCCCGCCGAATTCATCCCGATCCAGCCAACTTTGGCACAACAAAGGCAATTATAATAGTATTATAATAACAAATGTATTCTATATAATAGCAAACTTCGAACTACCTAATGAAATTTAAGCGCCATTAACTATTAGTCACTTCTCTGAGTGTGACCTTAAGATCTTCGGAAATAATCAAAAAACAATATTTGGGTTTATATGTAGGTACGAAAGACCCATTATCATAGTTGAATTGTTGGATACATAGCGAATCGTATAGATACAATGTCTGACCATCACGATTGTGATGGTGAGGGCTCAAACGGATATATATAAGTCCTACTTTGACAACACTTGTCAACTTCTCTCTTGAACTTTTAATTCTACGGATTTAATTTTAATTGAACTGCCTTGAATATTCTGTTTTGACATCAAAATCGCAAAAATGGACATTTAAGACATCGTCGTGGTCAAAATAGGAACAAATTGTATCATCGAAATTGAATCTATTTTGCCATGTTAGGTCCGACCGTGTTGTAGAATCAAAGGTTTAACCTAGGGCAAAATTTCGATTCGGTCCAGTTTCGCCAAAACGGATACAAATCGGGCCAGGTTATACCTGACGATGAGCCAGGTCGGATTATGGCTGCTGTCGGGCCTTGATTGCTCTTCTCGACGGCGAGCCTCATCAGTGCGGCGAGGAGAGCAACGGAGATGACGATGGAACGACGACGAGGAGGACGATGTCGAAACGATTACGTCGACGTTTTCGCACGTGTGCGACACCATATCGCTATTAAATATACGCATTCCCCGCGCCGTACGGCGGGTATAATTCCAAATATGCGGACGTGCGACGAAAATTTCGTTAAAATATCCGGAATAGCAGCCGCTTTTCGGAACGGGCATATTCGCCCGGCGTTATTTAATGAATTTTCAATTTGTACGCGTTCCACTCGCTTGATTTCGCGGATCAAAAGCGCGCCCGCACCCGCCTGCCCGCTCGCGCTTCTCAGTCGACTCGTCCCTTTTTGCATTCGGCCGATTGTGCAACCCGCTCTGTCTGTCTGTGTTTGCCCAATACGATTGTTGGCCCGCAATCCGGAAAGTTTTTTTCATTTGATAAAGCGACGGGCTTTTAATGCGCTCGGACGAACCTGGCGAGCGGCTCATCGGTCCTTCTCGTCGTCGCAACGGAGCTTCGCCCGGTCACATGACCGTCGACGTTCAATTCTAGTTCGTTACTCATGGAGTCAGATTGACCTAAGCGAAAAATTAAAATCCCATAGTTGCCGTGTCCGGAATGATTGCGCATACAAACATGGACATTCTTTCCTCGAAGCATACAACATTTTTTCTACTTCTTTCTGTGCATGCACAGTAAAAAATTTGTATTAAAAGAACGATCCGCTGAAATTGCGTGTCACTTTAACATGGGCGATATGTAAACTTTACATTATATTTGTGTACTTTTTAACACATCCCCCTTCCCCCTGTGTTAAAGTAATATGAAATTTCTGTGGACCGCTTTTAACACAAACATTTTTACTGTGTAGTATCAGTATACTATTTTCTCTTATAGAGGAGAAGTAACTAAAATCTACCTAAATTCTTTACGTCTGCGAACAGAACTTTTTAACAAAATCCGATGTTCCGTGCTTCTGTGAACACGCACAAGCTACGTCACAGCCATCTCATTTGAGTCAACTTACTCCGAGCGGTCATTTCGAATAAAAGAAATTATATTTTTCAACAGTGTCGCAGCAACAGTTAACGAAATACAAGGGGAAACCGCGATATTTCTTACGACCACCGAGAGATTGCAATCGAGAAATTCCAAAACCGACGGAATAATGAAAATAGAAGCAGGAATAATTTACTCGCCATGTCGAATTTTTCGAAAGCGTTTTTAAGTATGCAATGCGTAAGTCATGAGCCATTTCGCGCACTCAACCGACCCGACACCAGCGACATACACTATAGAGAAGGGTATGCTACTTTATTTTTAAGCGAGATATAAATTTTGCGACGGCTAACCTGCGTAATTTTCAGTCCCGGCCTGCCGCACTATAAAAATCATTTCCACTTTGAAACGTAAGATCGTGACAATTTTTCAAGTTTACCTCTTGTACATTCAAAACCACCAAATATGCAAGCAAATGCACACGATAGAAAAATTACCGGCGATAGAAAAATTTCCCAACGTGCCAAACCAGACAGGAAAAAATCAACGCGTCAACGAAGGGTTAATTGCTGGACACAACGTTCCCGTGTACGAAAGCTCGGTTTCTCGGCCGATCGAGCAGCGACCGGAGATGCAGAACGTACGTCGTCGTCGTCGTCGTCGTCACGAGCGTTTCCGAGGCGCGCGGAATGAAAATGAAATTTCCCGTCGGTCAATTTCAGACGGAGGGACGTGTATAGGAGTCCGCGCATGTGTGTCGGTGTAGACGGGAAAGTCGAAAAGGTCAGTAGAATCCGGAAAAGCCGTGAGAGAGAAAGAGAACGAGCGAATGAAAGAGAGAGAGAGAGAGAGAGAGAGAGAGAGAGCCAAAGCGGAGGAGCGCTCCGAAGCCAAACGTGTTCCACGGCGCGCTCGAATCTGTTCCAATTTACATTTATATTGAACCGCGAGCTAGGCTGCGAGCAGCCGACGCTGTTTACTCGCTTTCTGGATACATTTGTGTCTTTCCATTTACGCCATGGGACACCTTGGCCGCTGTCGTCGTCGTCGCGAGTCGCCGGCGCCGCCTTCTCTCTCTCTCTCTCCACCTTCTTAAACTTTTAAACCCGGCAAAACTGCGTGCAACCTCTCTCCCGGCTCTCTTTAAGCTCGAGGAGCATCGTCGCGCAGTCGGTGGCAATTGAAACGCTTCACCTCCGACTTGCCCCGCGTGAGATCGATATTCGCGTCCGTGACCACGACGACAACCGCGAGCAGCGCACGACGTCGGGAAGGAAGCGCGTGGATGAGCGAATGGAGAACCGGTAAAGAATGAGAGCGATGTACAGGGTGTCTGTGTCGCTAAGAGGGACGTCTGTTATATACTTGTAGTTTAAGTCAATGGGAGCAAAAGAGTCCTGCACCTTTCCGCGAACGACCACGCAAAATTTTGAATTATTAATTATTAAAAAAAAATATATATATATATATATAGAGGCTTCTTAAATAAAAACTCGAATCGATAACTCAAAAATTTATGGTTATTTGCAAAACCGTAAGATCGAGTAATCATAATCAATCTCTATGAATGGTTTATGTACAATTGAACAAGTTACAGAAGATAATTTTAAAAATAAAATAAGTTATATGTTTGTTTTGGTTGACCTATCCTCTGGTTGTCTGGTTAGTTTTGGGCAACATTTGCCCAATGAATGCTAATGTGACCAATATTGGATCAATTTATCGGCAATGAATTGTATGTAGGGTTGAGGAGACTTGATCCGTAGATCAAGTGTCCCCAATCTGGCGTGGATCATATTTCTCCAATAGTATTATTTTCAAATTTTCACTTTACTTTTGATAAACAAATCGATTTTTATTGATTAACCTTGTAATTACTTTCTTAAAGCAACAATTCGATTTTAATCTAATTACAAAACCTAACTGAAAGAACAATTAAATGCGAAAAAAATAATTTGCCACTCCCAAAATGTAAAACACAACCTCGCTCTGTTGTTATCAGCGCTCAATTATCAAAGTGACATTTAACGTTTCTTACAGTTGAATACTAGAATGAATACTACTGCTAACATGAAGAAAAAAAAATTAAAGTTTTTCCATCGTCGGAATAATGGCTAGGAATTAAGTTTCCCAAAGGATCAAGAGTCTGTCGTTAAGTACAACGGTTGTCATATACTTGTAGATTCAAGCATTCCGAACAGAAACATCCCTTTCCATTTTGCAAATAATCACGCAAATTTTCGAGTTGCCAATTAAAGGAGACTCCATACGTGGCCACTTTCAGTAATTAATAACTCAACATTTTTCGCGGATGTTTGCAAAATAGTAGAGGACTTTCTTGTTCGTATTGACCTAAACTGCAAATACATAACGCATGTCCCGCTTAGCGACAGACTCCCTGTATATAAGGTTATCTCTCGGTGTGTCGATAATGCTGCTTTTAGTTGACCGCCCAGGAGCGATCCCGGACGAATCGCCGGCCTCGGGAAATGCGCGGTGCACGCGCGCTTGCGGAAATATTATTTACGATCCGGTTATTAATTTCCATCGGAAAAGTTAGCCGGCTAGTGTGTCGCTTGCTCTTTCGCGATTTTGTTTGAATATTTATCCGGCGTATAGCGCGACTTATTTAAATGTTTATTAATTCCCTGGCCGCTCTCTCCCTCTCTCTCTCTCTCTCTCTCTCTTCCTCTCGTCCTCGGCTGTGTTTCTTTTGCCGTACAATGGCGAATACTGTATGAATTGGAATTGTACACAGCGCGGCGCACTTTTTATTTCGTCGGAATGTATGAATTATATAGTCGCAAATATGCGATTTCCTTTGTGGCCGCTGTGCGGCGCGCGGTGACCCGATGTAAAATCATAATGCGAGTGTGTGTGTGTGTGTGTGTGTGTGTGTGTGGAAAGTGATCTCTAATTAAATCGCGCATCTGAAGGGTAGAAAAGGTGGCGAACTGCCTTATTAATAAATATTTGCGCGATATATCACATAATCGTGGTGTTAATTAGAGGATTAATTTATTCCACTCCAAAGAGAGCAAATATATTTTTCCCCGATTCTTTGGGAGGTCTCTGACAAAACTGTCATGCAATATCAATCTTTATAAATAGCCGAGATTCAAGAAAGTAACTTGGAAACTAAAAACGGACCCGATGGTGTACACCGAGGGCTAATTACGCGATTCATTACGCGATAAATGCTCACGCGATTAATTCCCCGGGCCTTATCACGCGATGACAACTGATACGTACTCTCTTTAACGAGGTTTCTCCCTTCCTCTTTGCCTTGCAAAACTTCTTAAGGCATAATGGAAAAGAAGTCTCTCCCTCTCTCTCTCTCTCTCTCTCTCTCTTTCTCTCTCTCTTGCAATGAACTTTCGCTTCGCTTAAACTTGACAGTATCATATTAGGCTTACGAGGCCTACACATTTCCTTCGCTTAAGGTAACGGTCCCATTTATGGATCTAGTCAAACTTAGTTCGTAAATGTATTAAAGAAATACACATTATAATGAAAACACGGAAAAAAATGTTTTGTATTCTTTAGTTCGTTTATAATTATTGTATTTTAAGGCACTCAGAAACATTACAGATATTTAAGGAAGACCTAGAATATAAAATATGGAATATTATTTATCTATAGACAAAAATTTGCGTGACTACTGCTGTTATCAATCTGATTTAATGGGATAATTGGTTTCGTGGCGGCAACCTCCTGATCTACGAAGGAAATAAATAAGAATTGGTGACAATCTTGATAAACGTAAGCAGTTAAAAGGATGCAAAAACCACGATTTTTATTCTTTACATTAATTTCTCTCGCGAAGTAGATTTGACAGACTTATGGTGTTACTTCAGCGTCGAGATTGCGGATGTTCTTCTCGAGGTTGATAATCGGACCATCAATCGGGGCTCGCCCCGTCCGCAGGCGGGTCTGTTGCTCGGCGGGCCGCGCGGACATCCTTAATACAGCTTTACGAGCATTGTACGCTCGTAACTGTATAGCTTTCAAAACGGTTTAAAGGACAGGGTGAGTCATCAAGCGATGCTGGACGAGGGAGGGGAGGGGGGACCAAAGGTATACACGATACACCCGCGGACCCGGGGTGGTGGTTATCTTACGATCCTCGTGAAGGTCCAGAATTGATGGTAGATAGCGACCGAAGGCGGCGACGGCGGCGGCCGTGGCGACGACAGGAAACTGGAAACTATTTACTCGAGGGACGATATTAAGGATAGGAAGGGATCGGAGGAGAGGGAAGAGGACGAGGAGGGAAAGAGCAAAGGAGCGGCTATATGAAAGCGGATAGGTCAGGGCGATATAACGCGCGAACCCCCCGGTATATTGTTGAAAACGGAAGGGACGATCGCTTGCTCGTTTGCGCGAGGAGCGAGGGAAACGAGAGAGAGAGAGAGAGAGAGGACGGCGACGGTGGTCGCAGGAATCCGAACGCAAAATCGCACGCGCGCGAGTACGCGAGTGACCGCGCACAATGCAAATTGCCGCCGCGATCGGCATTCCTGCTGAGTTTTAATAAACCGTGTAAGATTCTTAACGGATGTGAGACAAATTCATGGACTCGACGTGGTGAGAGAGAGAGAGAGAGAGAGAGAGAAAGAGAAAGAAAGTTTTCCCTTCCGACGATGTCGAAAGTCGGGCGCGGCCGAGAAAGAGAGAGCCGGGAGAGTCTCATTTTTCTTCCACCCCTCTTTCTTCCTGCAGCTCCCCTCCCCCTCGGCCGTGCCATCCTACACTTTTCAGGGATTTCGTCGAGAGGAGCGGAGATAAAGGTACGAAGAATTTATAGCGCAAAGAACGGATCTCTCGGAGGCACTGGAGCGTGGGATCTGTGTATCAGCGTTTCGCAACATGTAGGAAGATATCGAGGGTGTGAGAGAGGGAGAAAGATGGGGTGGCAGGGGGAGGAGACGAGAGAAATATAAACAGGCAGGACGGGTGGATACGCAGACTCGCGGCGACGAGTTGTTTCTATCACGGCGCTCTCGATTCGGCGTTGAAAGACGAAGAGAGAAGGACGAATCGCACGCCTCCGAGGCGTCGATAAACACCCGGGATCCGGAAGGAAGCGGAAATCTAAATACGCAGGAATCTAATTATCCGAACGCAACGGTCGTTCCCACCCCCCTGCCTTTTCATTCTTTCATTATTAATTCCCGCGAAGGCTCGTCCTTTGACGAATGACGAACACACAGCGGCTAATTCAGGGATATTTGCGCGCGGTTGCCGCGGCGTTTCCAGATTTTCGAGGATAATGTTTGAAAGTTACCGAGAGAGGGAGAGAGTGACCAGGGGTGAAGGAGAAGGGAACGAGGGAGGAAGGGAGAGAGAGAGAGAGAGAGAGAGAGAGAGAGAGAAAATGTTCCTGAGAAACGCGTAACACGGCGCGCCGGCCGGGCTTTAGGGTTATTGCAGTCCGTTTTCAATCCGCATATTCCCGCGAGACACGTGTGTTTCCACATGTACTCATACAGCGGGATCTAATGGCAGGACTCGCGCAATAACCCGCCGCCCCCGCCGCCCCCGCAGCTTGAAACTCTTCCGTATCGTGTAGCACGCTTCTCGCGCTGGCTTCTGCTATATAACGAGCGCAACATTTCCGGGAGAAATGAAGCGAGAGCGAAGGAGCGAGAAGGGTGGAGAGGGAGAGAGGAGGAGCGAGGGAGGGAGCGTAACAGAAAGCACGAAAACAAACTCGAAACGTAATTAACGTTTCGAGGTAGCATACGAGTCCCACGCGAAAGCCCCCCCTCCCCCCAACAACTCGCGAATCTGAAACGGGTAATTTAAATTCTATTAAGAGAACATTCGCGGCGTTTGTGGGGGAGTTACTCGCGCGGCCGGGAGAGCGAGGAGGAGCGAAGGGAAACAGCGGGGAGCGAGAGAGAGAGAGAGAGAAAGAGAGGGGGAAAAAATCTCTCCTTGAATTTTCAAAAAGTTCCCGCGAAAGTTGGCCGGCGCGCGTTCGCGAATTATTTCAGTTATCGAGTTATCTTTATGAAATTACCTTCGTTGTGCGAAACGGCAACATCACGACGGTGCTTTCGCCCGTCTGTCCGTCCGTCCGTCCGCCCGTTGATTCGTTCCTCGAAGACTTTAACTCGCGCGAAAACTTCTCCCAGCGTTGCTTAATTGGAAGTCAGATTTTTCGTCGGATTTTCGTGGCGAAGGAAAACCTCTCCTCCCGCTCGATCTCGTTCTCACTGCTATTTCTCTCTCTCTCTCTTTCTCTCTCTCTTTCTCTCTACCTCTTATACTTTCTTTCCGTCTCTAAATTGATTTATTTACTTATCGGTCGCGCGGGGAACATGCGCGGTTCGCGATTTTGCCGCGCAATGCTGATGACTTTGACGCAACATTTGTTCATCGCAAGAGGGCGAGAGAGAGGGGGGGGGGGGGGGGGGAGATCCGTTTATTTGATACGCGCGTTTTCCGTTTACGCCGCGTCCAAATAAATTCGATGTCACGCACGGATTGTCTATCATTCGCGTTACGGATTTTATTGTCTTGTTTATAGGTGCGTGCGCTGCAACCATAAATGGCGTACCGCATCATACAAAACCGTGACATAAATCGCCCCCCCCCCCCCCCCCCCCCNACGCGGATGAGAATCCTTTTATACGCGACGCCCTGCGTTACGATTTTTTATTGAATACGTTATCTGTGATACGCGCCCGCTCTCGCTCGCTCGCTCGCGTACAGAACAGATTTGAAATAACAACTGCAAACCGTTCAATCATCCTTAAGCATTAAAAGGTACCAGCGTTGTACCCGACACGTTTGCATATTTGTAGAGAAATTGCATCGATATGCAAAGAGAGAGGGGAAGAGAAAGAGAAGCGAGAGAGGACGTTATGGAATTAGCGATCGGAATTTCGCAGGCGTGTTTTCGCATTTCCGCTTGGAAAGTCGATTTCTCGTCTCTTCGAGGCCAAACTCCCGTTTCCGCACCTTTTTCGTTGAGAACGGAGAAATGTGATTGTCGATTATAAAAATCAGTCCTGCGTTGAAAAAGTAAAACACTATCGTTTACGTAATATTTATCCGGGTAATAATTAAAAATGGGAGGGGGGGGGGGCTGGAAAAGCCTCACACAATTTTTCCCTATACAGAAGTCCCTACACGGAAATGCAACGCTCGTACAAATTAGCGCGATTAATAAATCTAATCTCTCTGGGCTACTGAAAATAATTATCGTTATCGAAATACTCTTAAATTGATAAAACTATTGACTTAAGAGAAGCTGAGAAACACGTAATTACTTAATTCCAGCACCTTTTTTCTGTGCGTAGAGATTCGATTTTCCATTTACGTTCGCAAATTTGCGACAGCAACATCCCGCGCGTCAGTTCGATCTTTCTCGCGCGATTTCCCGGCCGGCGCGTCTCAGGGACTCGCGGAAACTTCGTCGAAGTCGCCGATTGGTTTTATTCGTTCGAAGAACGAGTTATCTCACAGACGTGAAATCAAGCAATTCCTTGAAAAGTAGAAAACGGCGGATAGTAACGATGGTAGATACACCGGGACCGAGAAAAAAAGGGATAATCTCGCGAAAATTAGTCACTCTCAGCGCCGACCATATTTTTTCCGTCCGAAACGCGCCGGCGAAACGCAACATCCCCGGTCTCTCCCTTCCCTGCGGTCCCTACGGTGTTCTTGAAAAAAAATGAGCGTTATTTTAACGGATAATCCGTTTGTTCCAGGATACGAATGGGTCGGCTGGCGGAACGACACGCCCAACATGCTCGGACGTCCGGTGGAAATAACTTTCGAGTTCGACTACTCGAGGAACTTCACTGCCATACACCTACACATGAACAATTACTTCACGAAGGACGTGCAGGTATCGGCCCCCCGGCCGCCGTTACCGGTATTATTTCGGAAGTTACGAGCGCGCACCGGAACTACCGTAAATTTCGCGATCGCGCACACATTTCTCGCGCGGCGCCTTCGCGCGTTTTTGAGCGGCCCTTTAAAAAGATTCCCTCGCGATTTACAGCGCGGTAATTCTTGTCCGCTGCTCCTGAGCTCTCGGTATTTCCATCGACGACACCGAACGACCGACGAGGACGACGTATCGACGCCGAATTCTCGCTCGATCGGACGCGCTCGAATTAAGGACTCTCATCCGCGCGGTCTGCCTCGCCCGAAATGTGGCGCGTGAACGCGTGTTTCTCTCGTCGCCTCGTAGTTCAGCGATTAACTCGTGCAATCAACTCTCTCGTTTTCTCTTTAATTCGACTTCACACGCGACGTGCGCAGAATGGAACGGAATATTGCGGGCTTGCGAAAGCACGTCGATGATTTGATCCGCTCGAGGAACGATTTTACAGACGCGAGGTCACGATTATTTGCCGTGTTGAAAATAATAGATAACAACGACGGTAGATGCACTGAAATAAGAAAGAAAATTGTCATTCCCGCGTACGAATGTGAAATGAAAGAAAATAATAAAAATATTGTGTTCATAGGATAGAGATTCAAATCAATCATTCCCGGCGCCAAACATGTATTCGTTCTCAAAAATAATAATAACAAAGTATGTACAAAATTATTACGCTCTAGCTGAACGGAAAGCCAGGATAGGCGGCTCGGAAAGTTTTGAGATCTGGAAATAAAGCAGCTCCGTGGTGTCTTATCCCGCGAGGGAGCGGACGACCCGCGATTTCGACACTCGGTCAAACGGCGTCCCTGTTTTTATCGATAGCTGTTTCATTGTAAAGAAGGAAAAAAAAAGATAAACGAAAATCGGGGCGAGCAAAATTGCAAGAAGAAGCGTGGTGGAAAGTCCGGCCAACTAGCCAGAATGGAAATCCTCCGCTCTCCGACGCTGCTGTGCCGCGGATGAATAACGCGAAGCGTCCCCGGTTCACAGGTTTTCTCGTACGCGAAGGTGTACCTCGGCATGGGCGGCAATCAGTTCATCGGCGAGCCCGTCCACTTCTCCTACATACCCGACCAGGTGCTCGAGCAGGCGCGCGAGGTCACCATTAAGCTGCACTCGCGCGCCGGCCGGTTCCTCAAGCTGCAGCTCTACTTCGCGGCCCGCTGGATCATGCTCAGCGAAGTGATCTTCGAATCGGGTAAGAGAAAGATCACACTTGTCCCCTATTTCCCCTCTCTTCCCGTCTGCGTCCCGTACCACCCCGTCGACGTTTCTTCCACAATCGAGATTTATTTCCCGACATTACCCTTCCTAACACTCGCGACGAGAAACTAAGCTTCTCTCCCGTCTTTGGCCCCGTTCGCTTTCGCCTCCCCCCTCCCTCCTTTCTACCCTATCACTCTCTCTCTCTCTCTCTGTCTCGGGCGCGTGCGTTTCTAGACGCGCCTTTAGTTAAACGGAAAATCAGAGTAGGCGGCCCAGAAAATTGAGATCTGGAAATAGAGCGGTTTCGAAGTGTCTTATCTCGCGGGCGAACGAGCGAACGATCCGACACGATTTCCAATTTTAAATGGCATACTTTCAACGAGGATATGAGCGCCGGGGACGCCGCGCTCGGGAGGGAGGGAGGGTAAATCGTCCCGAAGCTCGCGTGTGCGTCGCCTCGCGAAAGCTCGCGGGAGAAAAATGATTCGGACGGGGCAGTTTCGAGGGACGCGCGCGAAATTCGAAGCCCTCTCTTCGCGCGCGTCATTCGGCCGTTAATCAGCTTGCGAACGAACCGCGAAACCGCTCGCTCGTCTCCAGTAGTGAGATATTAACGGCGAGAAGTGAAGCCTATACGTCGGTCGAAGCGAACTTCATTTTTCGGACGCTTTCACCTGCCGTTTCGTTGCTCCTTCGTATTTTTACATTTCGTCGTTCTGAATTGTTAATACGTTGACTGTCACGGAGCTCACCGGTGACCAGCCCTACTTGAGAAAAAAGCGCTTAGTGTTGGGTTTTGTCACGCTTATATATTTGTCATATTTATCAGATAAAACAGGATACGAAATTATCCGATTTCGAAGGATTAATAACATTAATAACAACGTATTTTAACGTTTTGCTTTAACTTTCTGCTGTATCCGGAATGAGAATAGGCGTTCCCGAATGGTTTTCATCTACTGAACGCGTATCCGTTGTCTAAATTTGGCTACGCCTTGAGTTGGATCACAATTTTAATAAAAATGGCGTGAAAGAGACCAAAAACGTGAATTTTCAGGGTTTTCTTGACGTTGTAGCATCGGTAGCGAATTTTTTCCCCGCATTTCGTTAATACCACGCAAAAGTATCAACTTTTTGCTTTAAAACGCATTTCGTATCGTTTCCGTACGATTTTTCATTTGCAGGATACAGCTAAAATTAAAAACACTGGTTGCGCGCGCTCGACATCAATGTCGTGTTTAGCTGTACCTTGAAAAATTAAACCGAAACCATGCAAAATATATTCTAAAGCTAAAAGTTGATACTTTTGCGTAGTATTAGCGAAATGTAAGAAAAAAATTTTCTGCTGATACTACAAATGAACTACGAATGAAAATCCTCACAATTGGCTTTTTTGGTCTCTGTCGATATTTTTCTCAAAATTATAACCCAATAGCCAAATTTTGTCAACCAATTCGTAGATAGAAACCATTCGGGAACACACCTATTTTTATTCCGAATATAGAAACCTTGTTGATCAGTGTAATTTTTATAAGCAAAATGAACAACATCGACTTGGTGTTTCTAGATATTTAACGAGGTCATCCTAAAGTGCCCTTTTAATACCCAAATTTCCTACGAGAATTTAATAAAAAATGATAAATTCCCCACTGAAAGAAAAATATTTGGTTTCTGTAACTTTAATGTCATAACTATACACTATAGTAAAAGAATTGCAGTCAGGAGAATCATTTTTTAAATAAATGTCACTATAATATCAGTGATAATAACCTTATGTATTGCTTACATATTGCTATTATTGTTATTGTGGTTAAAACCAGAAACGGGTATATATTTGAGGCCGAAAATAACCGAAATTTCTCTCAGCATTTGTATCAACCCAATATTTGTAATTATAATTGAACGATGAATTAATTATAGCGAAGGAAACCATTTTTTAACCATTTTGTAAATATATAGTGGGGACAATCTGCATACAAGGTCGTTTAATTCAGTGACAATAATAATTTTATATGCGTATCGCTGTCATATATCACCTTTTGGCTGGAACAAAAAATATCGCCGGCCTCGAAAATGACTATAATTTTAGTCAGATCGATCGTTTGTTTTCCTCACCCGATTTACAACACTGTGGCATCTAATTGGTTTAAAGCAATTGCACATATAACAAGTTAAATCTACCGTCAATAGCGAGCTGATGAAACGAGCCGGCGAATAAATGCATCATAAATAGCATTTATTTACCTCTGTATCCTCGGCATCGTTCGAACTTGATTTGAGCTCCGAAGTAATCCGCGGAAATCAACGTGTCAATGAGCAACGGTGCGAATACGCGGGATACGAGCGCGCGCCCGGAGAGGCTCGCGATTTCGCGATCGATCGGACGACAATATCCCGGCCGGAAGTGGTCAAGCGCGAAAGCGAGAACGAGAGCGAGAGCGCGCGCGGCCGAGACATTTAAAGTTCCCGAGATCGTTTAGTCCCCGCGCATTGTTGCTCCGTCCGACTTTAAAGCACTGCGGAAAGCAAGAAGCAGAAGTATCCGCGGCACGTTGTGCGAATGAGAGCACGTGGTCGCGGACCGGAAACGAAACTTACTTACCACTCGAGCACACACACACACACACACACAAACACAGCACACCTAGGCACACACTTCAAAAAGTTTCACCTCGAAAAGCCGGAACGTTCCGCCCGACGAGCCAGACGAGAATGATATAGACAAACAGAGAGAGAGAGAGAGAGAGAGAAAGAGAGGAAGGAGAGAGAACGGAACCGTCGTTAATCATTCTCTCAGTGCCGCCGTGTTCTTACGTTTCGCGAAAGATAACTTCGGCCGTGTAACACTCGAGCGAGGGCTGATTTTCTTTGTCACCCTTCGCAGCACGGAGGCATCCGCCCTCCCTCAACGCCACGTAAAACTCCTTGCACGTACTTTTCCTCTCCCTTCTCGCCCTTTACACAGCCCGTATATGAGCGTGGAAGTCGCTCGTGCATTGGGGAAAAGAATTGTTAATCTCGCTGCAAATTACGGTCATTTCCGGCGTCAATCGTGTCCTCTTGTTTCCCCCTGACGGCAAAGTAACAACGGGAATAATCAAACGAAGTTATTGTAAAAAGTAGAGGAGAAAGTGGTGTTATGTCCCTCTTAATGTCCTTACTTTTAGGCGAATTCTAATGATTCATGGAATTATTTGTTCAGCAGCCCGTCCTTACGCACTGGCGCTAATATGCCAATATACAATAGCCGGGATTTGATATAACGCATTTTTACGCCGGAATTTGATATAACGCATTTACTTTCGAAACGTTTTCAAGGTACACTCAGCGTTTAATTATACGCACTCCCTCATTCTCCCTAAACTTGGGCGTATTATTACACATGTGCACTCGAGTGTTTCGTTCGTTATTTAATATTTTATTCCGCTGTAAACATTTCAAATTATGCAAAGTTAAACAATAGCATGACATTTTCCTAATTTGGCTTCCCGGTGAAATAGATTCAACACGGCCTTTTTCCCGAGGTTTTCGTATCAAAGTAGTTACCTAGTGAACACCAATTAACAGTAACATAATATTAACAGTAACATAATATCTGTGTTATAATTTCCCACTTAACAATGTTACTGTTACATAATATACGCGTTATATTGCGTTGTTCAATGGGAAATTATAACGTTAGTGTTATGTTACTGTTAGTTGGTGTGCGTATTCGCTGGATTATTTGATAAGTCGATAATATAAGTTAGGTTAAAGAGGCTTATTCGTTATGTAAAAACTGTCCCGACAGTTGCAGGCATGAGAGCGACTCACTACTTTCCTTACTTTTCTTCACTTATTTAGAAACATCTCACTTTTTCTTACTTTAAAAAAAAAAAAGAACAACTCACTTTTCTCTTACTTTTTCCTCACTCGACTTGAGGTCTTTAAGAAAAAAAACTCGATTATAAGAAATCACATTCAATAACTACTTTCTCCAAAGACGGAACAAATGATTCAAAGAAAATAGGAAATAGTAATGACACCGACGATGTAATGCTCATCAAGTGAAGAATTGCGATTTTACTGTTTAAACTGTTTTCATCGGGCTTGTCAGAAAGACAAACACTAACCGACAAGAGCACATCTGACTGTGTTTTCTTTAAATTACGTGGAATCGATCGTCCATGACGTTTGTCCATAAAATCAAAACAAATTATTAATCAGCGAACCCAAGAAAATAGACAATGGCCGTCATGAACACACTTTGTTACTTTTTCAGGAAACTCACTTTTCTCACTATTTTTGAGAGCTAAATCGTTCCTACGCTTGCAGTTTGTATCTATCCCTCTACAAAACATTTTTATATACATTGTTCTACGTATGTACATTTGTGTATATTGGGTGTAGTATGTATGTACACTTATGGTGTAACTGTGGTGAACTTCCTTAATAGATATACATACAACATGCATTTAAATATATCATGAAACATATGTATCTATGGAATATACAATCAGTATCATGTAAGATATACACATACTAAATACACATCGCTGCATATACATACTGTATATTGTAATGTATATCCGTCTTATGCATATGGAATGTATATACAGGATATTATTTGCACATCATCGAGCATATATGTATATACAGGAAATATCCAATGTTACATGGGTCCCGATAAATGAATCAGTATCTACATTTAAATTCACGGTCATGTTCATTGTTGTTCTTTCTAAGGTTTTTTTATTTTGAATAAATATACAAATTTGTAACAAAACACTATGTTTCTTTGAACAAAACTAATTTTTAAATCCGTTTTAATAGGGTGNGGGGGGGGGGGGGGATTATCACTCCTGTTCCTCTTTGACGTATTATACACTGTCGCCACATTTTTATAAATAAGTAATAAATACAAATAAATATTTTCTAATGTTGAATCTAAAATTGTTTGAACAACACTTGAGCAAATGCGATCGTCAAGTTTTCAATTTAAAATATTGATGAAATATTAACAAAGTTATTGTAACATTTAAATGGGGAGGGGGGGTCATAACATTACCTTTTCCTCCGATATTAATGATATTAGTAGCTCTGCAGCATTGCAGCGTTTACTGCAAAAATGGCTCTCCCGACTACAATTGTTTGATCACGCGAAGTTACAGTCACGAATATCGAACACTTTTCTCCCCGCTGCTTGCATATCGGGCGCGTAACGTCAGGTTGTATCTCTCAATGAAGCAGCGCGTCGTGCGCGCTATTTTAATTATCGGAGTTTTATATTGGAAAGGGAGAAAAGGGGCAAAAAGGGTTACGCCTGCTATATTAATATAGATGAATGAAGCGTGAATGAGGGGAGAATTTTTTACCGAAACAATAAGAATCCTACGCCGATAATTTTATGAACGAACGAAGCTCAATAGAGACGTGTGCTCGCTCGCGCGCGATCTTCTATTAATAAAGAGGATCCGTGTCGGTATCGACTGATCCGTGTTGATAATCAACACGCGCGTCGCGTCATCGTTATTATTATATTTCCCGAAATGAACTATCCTCGTGTGCTCGGCGTGAGGAGCAACTCGGCACATGGCGGCGATGTGTGATCGTTAATCGTTTCCAACGTCCGGGGTGGTTCTATACATCGTTCCCGCCCTTTCTATTCTCGAAACGAGGGCTTTGTTTGCTCGGATAGAAAATAACTCGAATCCCTATATAGATTGTCGTAATCCATACGCGGGAAATAGTACACAACGGAAAATACCGTGCCACCCGCAGCGATGCGACCGGAAATTGTGCCGAACTACATCGCGCGAGCGAGCGCACGATACGACGAGCTTTATTAAACATTTGCCAGCTTACGCGCTGCAACTATTACAATTACGCTATTCTTACGCGGCTGGCGAATTCTTCTAATAAGCCTCGGAAGATAAATTTTTTTATTTCAATTAAACTTCTCTATTTTCCTATTTTCCTTTTGCGTTTGAAAAAAAATAGAATTTTATTAATTAAATTAATCTTTAGACGATCTTTTTAATATCATCCAAAAAACAGAATCTATTTTCCTATTTTTCTATTTTCTATTCTTTTATTTGAATTAAATTTTTCGGTTTTTTCGAATGCATTCTGAAGCTCATCAAAGTGAAAGCGTTGCAACCTTTCCGCCACAGACGCAACATATAGAGGAAATATTGTAGTAAGAATTACCATGAAATTTTGTAATGCTAGATTATATCGAAATTATGACTGAAATTATTATGTAGTGGCGGAAAAAGGAATTAATTAGTGAAACGTTAAACAAGCAAGTGGAAAAAGATAGAAAATAACGAGCAACGTGAGCCAATACGCAGAATTTGGCGCGCAAACCAGGATATCATACGCCAGTAATTCAAAGTGAATCAATACACGTTAATTAAACCAGGTTGAAACATTAATGTGCCAATCAATTATACCGGGATCGATATTTTTCTACACCGGGGCATAAATGCCGTTGTACCGATAGAATTAGTCAACACCGCCGTAATTGGAGTAAATCTTTTCAGTAGCGACATTATTGAAACTAATACGTCACACGTTGTTTCAATAACTCAGATATTAGCTTCAGCGATTTGTTGCTGTCGAATCAAGAAGATTTTGCCCGATTACGGTGCAGCTGATCGACTTAATTGACGGCAACATTTTTCCGCTCATTTTATCGGCTCGTGTCGAGAGCTTTCCACGTGTATAAATTACCCTGACTATAATGATTAATCCCATCATAAAAGCAGGGCACCAATTCTCGGCGATAAAGATGCCGAAGCTCGCGAATTTCTCCGCGGATTAGGAGCGCCGTTCGTTCGCCGGTCAACTCCGGCTCGACGATCGATATCGAGAGCTCGACACAGAGAGAGAGAGAGAGAGAGAGAGAGAGAGAAAGAACAACGATTCCTTCGCCGAGTTTCCGATCCCGGGAAAGAGTCGACGAGTTCCCAAGAGCTCGCGCTGCTGTGCGGCAAAACGCGGCAGTTACGGCAGCTTAAGCAATGACCGGTTTATCCGTCGTCGTCGGTGCCGCATATCGACCGGCGATATTTCTTTTAATCCGTCTCAAACGATCCGGGACGAAACTTAGTTGCCGCCGGCTGGCCGGCACTCCGATGTAGCGCTTTCGAAAGTTCCGTGTCGCTCCGTCGCACCGGCCACACCGGGAGAGAGAGAGAGAGAGAGAGAGAGCGGCTACGTCGTTAATCATTCGACGTACTCCGCGAGCGAGTGAGCCCAGGCTCGCGATAAGTTGGACCGACCGGCCGGCTGGCCCAGAGGCGAGCAATGTTCCTCGTCACCTGTATACCACATAACTCGTATTCACGTCGTGCGAACGCTTCGTTGAGCCGCGTCATCGATAGGAAAATATATCGCTCCCCGCGGCGGCCGCGGCGCCGCCGCCAACGACGGAGTTTTCCAGCGAGCGAACGAGCGACGAACCGGCGTTCGTTTCCCCGCTCGGGGCTCGAAAGCTTTCGAGTGAGAGCGAGGGAGAAAGAGAGGAAGAGAGAGAGAGAGAGAAGACGTGAGAGCAATTTCGCTCGCTCCTCGATTAATTTTCCTTTTTATGAGTGCCGCGTAGCGAGTCGGCCGCGCGCGCGCGTCTAACCGGCCGAAAATTGGAATATTTTCCGGGTGTCCATTAGTCGATAAACTCGCGGCGCACTAATTTTCGGGTTTACCTAACGAGAAATTCCGGCCGCGTGTGACGCGAATTCAATCCCGGTGACGCGATATTTGTTCGTTTTCGGCCGATCGATATCGCGCAGAAAACTATCCCGAATACAAATGAAATCCTCCGCGGGGGCCACGAAGAACCGCCGGTCACCGCCGGTTTGCCGGAGCCGCGCCGCTCTCGATGGAGCTCGTCGGGCTCGTCGGAAATGGCGTGTACACGGTATTTAAGGATGTATCGCCCGTCGACGGCGTATTTCCAGCGGTTGCATAATCAATAATTCAATGTCGTTTCGAGGTTAATTTCATTTTTTTTTTCCTTTTCTACTGGGTCGCATAATTTTTTTAACATAAATCAATTCCTCCGTTCATCCTACGTATAAAAGTACCAAGGTAAGGCCACCGAAAAATGAATACTTCTCGAAATATTTTTTATCACACTTCGAGATATTTTACTCTTCACTCTGATCATTTTCAGTCCAAAACATGAAATATCTGATAAAGTATTCAGTTTTCGAAAATATCACCTTAACACTTTTGTACGTAAAATAACAGGTAGAATCGATTACTGAACAAATATAATAGTCAGGTGAAATGAACGGATATATCTGCTCCTGTGCGATACAGATTGATTGAATTAAATTATTTGTGAGTTAAATAAATAGATCGATTTTTTAATCTAGGTTATTCTGACTCCGATTTAACCTTTTCAGGGATACTGACGCATGTGTATGTTTCTACTTTAATTCGAACACTGTTGACGAAAAATATAGCGAACATTACTGCAAATAAAACTCACTACGAAATTCCACAAGAAAAGAGAAATATTGTTAGATAATTGGCAAATGTCATGTTCATGTCACCTTCATATTGAATCATTTTCCTCTTATTTCAACTTTTTCGTCCCTGAAGAGGGTCAAAGGGAAGCTCGAATAAACTCTTATTCCTTCTTTCTGTTATATATATATATATATATATATATATATGACACGCTTTCTATCATAAATATTTTTAACACGCGCTCGACGAGCGCGAACGTCTATTCCGCACGGATTTCATTAGCCCTCCGATTCTGAAATGCGCAGTTATCTCCGAATGGAACAATACCGAGGACGAGGAGGCGAAGAACAAGAGTGCCATTGTACTCGCGACCGGCAGCCCCTATCAGAATAACGAGGGTCCACTGCAGAGGGACGAAGTGAAGGCCACTTTTAATAAGGAGGAGAGCAAAGATAACGCCTGTAAGTCTACTGCCGATCTTTTCCCCATTGTTATTCCGGCTAAGCTACGTTCATAATTTTCCGCGTAATTGACGCTCCTTTCAACCGGCCTTTCTCCCCCTTCTCACCCTTCTCACTCAACTCCCTCTTCTTGTCGTTCTTTTCTGCAAGGAGCTCGATATGTATCGCGAGGGAAGAATCGGCATGTCGGCCGAGAGAAATTACCACGCGATGACCAGTGGCAATTTATCACCACGAGGGAACGTTAGTCCCCGCCACGAAAAATTGTGTCCGATGAACGCACGCTAAAAATGACGCTAATTTTTACTTTATATCGTAACCATCTTCATTTTTCAGGTAAGGCAGTAATAGCAGTTGCGTTGCCTCGCCTATTAGTTGCTTCCTTTTGTACTTACATTCTGTATTATTGTTTATTATTTTCTTTCTTTTGTGACCAGTGAAGCTATGATTATTATTATTTTTATTATCATTAATTTTTCGACAATGTCAGACGAACGAGTGTCGGACGATGAAGTCGAAAAGTTCCGGACGGGGATTGAGTTTGCTTTATTGAGAGATTCTGACACGTGTATGTACATTTAAACACGCTTTAGTTTTCATTTTGTAATTTAACATTGCAGACACAGAACGTCTCGTTTTTCTTTTAATTTCACACTGTCGACGGAAATGTAACGTTTAATCTCTTTTTCCTAACCATTGTCGTCAAAAAACATAACGGACATTATTGTGAACAAATATTCGCCGCGAAATGTCCCCACGAAACAGAAACAGAAAAGAGAAATCTCGTCGTATGATCGACAGGTGTCACATTTGTGACATTTGAAAATAAAATCGGTCGTTGTAGTATTTATCGTTTCATTTGGTTCGCGCGTGAAAATTATTCTCGTTCGCTTTCAAATCAAATTGTTTCTTCTTGCGACTTCGGTAAATACGCACCTGCAAAGTGATTAAGCGACGCAGCCATAACCATGGCTGAACGTGTTGAATTCATTTGTCGGCCGGCGAAACGCCGACGAGCTATTCTCCGAGCGGGCGAACAGTCTCGGAAAATAAATAGAGGAAAAGCACCAAAATTGACACAGGTATGGTAAATCGACATATCCATATTTCTCAGCTGTAAAGTATTGAACTCCGTCGGGCAGAACATGAACTTCGCCTACTGTGTACAGTAGTTGCAGCTGAAACCGCATTTTCTGTTTGCAAACGCGTTCGGTCATGTTATCAGCATCGGTTTTTCGTTGTACTGAAATTTTTGTTGCGATACTTTCTTGAGAAAATTAAAATAATAAATTACAGAATAAGTAATTTATTTGACGCTACTATTTTGCAGCGTGAGTTTTGAACTTTTTAAATTAACTTTTTTGGTTCTTGCGCCAATCTCTCTGTCCTTTGTCACCGAACCATGCGAAAAAAGTCAAGAGATTCCTCTCCACATACTAAAAAAATACTTAAGATATTATATATGAATTTGTTAATAATAATATAATAAATTTATTAAATATCAGTTACTAACTATTACTTATTAAATATATAATATTAAAGATGACATAAGATAAGATAGAAATATACAGGATTTTCCAATTTCGATAAACTCTGTATAATAAACAAAATAATGTGATTTCAACGCTTTTGTTTTATTCCTCGATAATTTCCTGTAGATATCGTGGGTATGTCCTAATTTTTAGAAGCGTCAATTGTCAAACGTCTTGAAAATAATTATTTGTCAAGAAATATGTCGCGATTTTCACAAGACTCGTATATTTTAGTGGGAAAGCGTTGCTGGTTTGCATCCACGCGCATAAACTTTAATTTCAACATGGAGTTCGAGAACAAAACAATATATTAGTTTCGGTGCTTTTCCTCTAATCGCGGAGTATCCGACGCGAGTTCGGAATATGGGATCGCGGGCGATCTGCATTCTCTCCTCCCTGGTGTCGCGCGATCTCGCGCGCGTCGGGCCAAACGGACAACGACGATAGCGCGCTCCCGACGCATCTCTGGAGAAATCTTCTCCACCTCCATTCCTTGCTCCTCCGATACGCGACGTCGTTACACCGGGAATTAATGGAGAAACGGTGTGACACGTCGCGTCGATCGGGGGTCAGAGGCGGCGAACGGTGAAATCGGAAGAAACGCGCGCGCGGAGAAAGAAAGGGGAAAAAGAGACACATCGAGAGAAAGAGAGAGAGAGAGAGAGAGAGAGGGAGGGAGGAAGGGAGCGAACGGTCCCAGGAACGATTCTCGAGAGCCCGTTCTCGATTACCTGAAAAAGAAACTGGCTCGCTCCCTCGCGGAAGCAAGAAGAAAAGAGAGCGATCGCTCTCTTGTCCGCTCGGCTTCGGCGAGTTTGTTAACCGATAGAGAACCGCGCCGCTCTTCGCCCGTCTTTTTATCCCCGTCATAACGGCAAATAAAAGCCGCGCAATTAACCTGATTAATTCCTTAACTCGCTCGCCGGCTTGAGCGAACATGCGATAATCGGGGACGCGGTTGGGGAGGGGTGAGGGGGGGAGGAGGAGATCAGAGGAAAGAGACGCGCGCGGTATTGAAGGCTTCCGTGAAAAAGAACAGGAAAAGGGATCCATTAACGAAACTTCTCTCATGCTAATTGATTACACTCGATATTCTCGGCCAAGCAAGGCGGGTGGGAGGGAGGCTGGGAGGGACGGAAGGAGGCGGAGATCGATGGCGGAGCAATTTGCATCCTTCCTCCGTCGCTCGACTCGCGTCCGTCGGCGTCGCGACGCAACTTCTTCGTAAACGTTACGCGAGCTCGCGTGCGTCCTCACTTTACGCCCTCTCATGTACGACTCGCTCGCGTGTTCCGTTTCTGTACGCGGAAACTCGCCGAAGGAAACGCAAGAAAGCCCGATATAGAGGGGGGAGGACACGGGGGGTGAGTTTGTGTTTTCCCGCGCTTTAAGCGCCACGTAGTGCCGATGCTCGTTATACGTTATTCCGTTACAGAGAGAGAGAGAGAGAGAGAGTATTATTTATTAAGTGTTCCGGGACATAAATATTAAAACAAAAGGAAAATAATCCCCTGGGACGCTGTTACTGGCATTTGTTACAAAAATATGTATACCTAAAAACATTTTTTTTAGAATTAAAACATTTCTATATAGATTTGCTTTAGAAACTTCAATGTTAGTTTATCTATGAATATAAGGACATTTTATCCTCGCAGAGATCATTAGGGAATCGACTGTTTCTGACTGACTTTTCTGCCTTGAAAGTGATATTATCATATAATATGCTGGACTCCCTACTTCGCAGAATCTTGAAAAATTGACGTACAACGAAATAGCAACGTCTGTTATTAATTTTCCACCATCTCAGTTTGTCATAATAAGAGGTAATGTGTTCATCCCTTTTGATTCCAAAAATATATTCAAAGAGAGAGAGAGAGAGAGAGTGAGAGAGAGCGAGCATGCAACACATTATGCCGAAGGTAACCCCGTAACATTTCCGAAAGAAATCGGAACAAAACGTCGCGCTAAAGAGCCGAAGAGAGAGAGAGCGCGCGAGATGAAACTTTTCGCCGGTCGACGCAGATAGGTACGGCAGGTACGTGCGCGACGCTGAAAATTCAAACCAACGGTTTTATCCGCACCGGGAGGAAACGCAAGAACGCAGGTCGGTTTATCGAGCGACGTTCGTTCGACACGTGGATCATCCCTCTTCTCCCCACCGTCCGTCGTGAACAAATATCACGGGACGAGTGTGTCTCTCTCACTCTCAATTACATGCAAATTGTATTCGTGAAAGCGCGGTAGCTCGTATTTAAAAGCGAAAATCGAGATTTCCTTGTTAGATCGCGGGATAACATCGTCTCGAATTGCGCGTGAATATTCGCCTAAATTTTGTGACGTCTATAATAATCGATATTTGTCAAATTACACGAGAGTCAATAATGTGTGTCGGCCTTGTTTAATTTATTTACTAAGGGGATGCCGAAGTCGATGACGAATTTGATGATCATCGATAATGTAAGGGGCGATCCTTGAAATGTGAATGTGATATATATATGATATATATATGAACGCGATGCACTACTCCGTTTTACTATATCTAACGGAAAATTTAACCAAGATGTATAACCATTTTTCTGCAAGCTTTTCGTAACTTTTTAGGCCTCTCAATTGGATTGAAAAGGTATAAAGATGTTCTTTGAAATTTTCCTGATCGGAGTATTGACACATTCGGCACGTACAAGCTGCAGGATTTCTGTATCAGGTAAATATTTACGCTAACTGACAGCTAGAGATGTCAATTTTGAAATTTCCAATCGTTTTCGTTGTATACCGAGCAATGCTCCGATTCATTTTCACACGCATTTTTACCGTGTAAAAGTATTGAAACATTTATAATTCTGTGCGATCAATAAGACATAAACTTTGCAGAAAAAGGGTGAATATTCCGCCAGTATTCGATTGAAAAACCCCTCATCTACTCCCAATTTAAGTCTGAAATCTCACTTGAGACAATTTTCGAGGAATAATTAATTAATACGCGTCTTAAAAAAACTGCGACTTGCAGCGATGATAAGTACACATTTTCTTGGTTTCCTCTTTCTTCTTATCTTTCATTACTAATCTATACTGTAATACCACAGTAATGACAAACGAATACTAAGATACATCCTCGGGGGAAGTGTCCTAGGACGATGACAGAAGCGTCGATTTGTCTCTCATTTTTCTCCAACGGTCACCCGCCGATTCGATGACCTCGCACGATGACACCCCCCGATGTTATTCGTGCCCCAGAAGGGCAAGTGAGACGTTAGAGCTCACGTTCGAACCCGCGGACGTAAATGTTTTTCCTCCCCCTCTCTCTCCCTCTCTCTCGGAGATCGTCCTCCGGGGGCGGATCACATCGCGGTCCTTGATTATCGCGCGAAAAAATATCCGGGAAGGAAGCGACGCTCGCGCGTCTCTCCTCGATGACTCGTTTAGCCCTTCCCCCCTCCCCCCTCTCGCGTACCTTTATTGATTCGAAAAATAGAAAGATACTCGCGGTCGGTCCGGCTGGCCGGCGGGTTGCGACAGTGCGAAAGTTATCAGCGGATATTGTTTTTGTTCAACCGGGCACTGATCAACCGTGATCCGGTTACAAGCTGCGCGATGAACGCAATCATCATTATCGTTCCATCGTGCATTATGCGAGGCTACCTCGGCCCGGTATTATCCGCGGTGATAGATCGTGTTGCTCGATGCATCAGGCGGCGTCATGGCCGAGTGAGTGCGCTATCGCGTACACGCGCGGATCAGCTGTCCGTCGCGCCGGCTCGGCGCGGGCGCCACGTCGAAATATTATTAATGGCAGGGACTCTTTTGTTTCCCCGGGGGCCACGGGCCGCTGTCGTTGTTATCGCTGCCGCGTTTCAACCACCTCCTGTATCCGAAACACACAGTCGTTGTCCTCCTCACCGTCGGCCCTCCATCGTGAGCGCGCGCGCGCGCGAGGATTCGCGATAGCGGAAGCAATTAACTAATTTTCTAATTAACCCCGCCAAGATCGCGCTCGATCGCAAGCCGCCCCCCTGCCGATGCGACCGCACGGTAATGATAGCTTCTGATAATTGGGACAATTTATCACGGATTCTAACGATCGATAATGAGTTCTGATTTAATTGATCCCCGTCTAATTTATCTATTAATTCACTTTAATTTGCGCGATTCATCTATAATGATTCCAATCAGATTCCAATAATTCTAACGATAACGACGGGTGTGGGTTAATTAAATGACAAAAACGTGACAGAGAGAGAGAGAGAGAGAGAGAGAGAGAGAGAGAGAGAGATGGAAGGAGGGAGGAGGGGGAATTTCGCCACGGAGACACGCCGGCGAATGTCGTCTAATCGCCGCGGAAATTAATCGGCCGGCGGGAGGAGACAGCGAACGGTCGAATTTGATGGAACACTCGGGCTAATCGATCGCATGCTAAAAAGCAGCCCCCCGGGAGCCTCGCAGGGCTAACGTTCTCGGCGTTACGATTAATTAATGTAAATTGCCTCTGGAGCGCGCTGTAAGCCAGTGACAATGTGCAAGATCACTGAGCTTGCGATGTAACCGTTAATCGTTCGGCTAATCGATTCCCTCCGTATTCCCGAACATGACGGGTACATCTGTTTACTATATATATATATATATATATATATATATATATGTGTGTGTGTGTGTGTGTGTGTGTATATGTGTAAGTATTTACCCTATGTACGTATATGGTACATACTTAACCGAGTATATACGGGACCGTGTAGGCGCGGACGGTCGCGCACACTCACACACATATGTCCGTTTCTCAGTTCCAGATAAGAGCAAGGAGCCGGAATCGAGGCAGTTCGTCGGTCTAGTGATCGGCATCCTGACGACCGTGATCGTCATGCTGCTCGCAGCGATCACATTCATCTTCTACAGGAACCGCAGGCTCAAGGCCGCGCTCGCGCCGTCGACCTTCTACGATCAGCAAGGCGATCATCTCAAGGTCGGTGTCCAGCATTGTGTCGAAAACACCGCGCACTCGACGAGTGACAATGTTGTTGTTGGCGACGCGAGTATTCTCAGTTTTCGGCTCGAACCGTCTGACCGGTGCGACGGGAGCGCAAGTAAGAATGGAGATCTCAGCTAAGAGAAAAGAATAGTTGGTCTTATTACTTTGTAAGCGTGAAATCTCACTGGATAAGTTATTTCCGGCGTTAATTATGTTTATTCTCGCCCCCACGAAAATGTGGTAATTATAACGTTACAGTGACAGTTGCTATAAAAATACAAAGATAGTATGCAAAAACCGGTAAAAGTGCGCGCTGTTGCACACAAATACCACTTTCCTCTCAATATGGATCGTGCCCGGCTATTTCCATTGTGAGATAGGAATAGTGGAGAACCTGAAAAATATTAGTACTCGTTAGAATCTACGAAACGAGCCAACAGCTCTCGAATCATCGCGCGTCGTCGAGCACGAGGACGAGAATTGGGGGCGCGGTCTGGCAACCGGACACCGAACGATCCTTCCTTCCTCCTTTCCGCGACGGCGATCGTGTTATCTCGGCGCCTCCGATTTATTAAACGACCACGGCGATCTCAGCCCTTCGCTCGCGATTTTTCTCCGCGCCACTACCGACCCGCTTTCGACGCCAGAGACTCTCGTCTCCGGATCTAATAAACCGAACAGGCGCATCTGTTTGCTCTGCGCTTCCAGGTCACTCTACGGCGCTTTTGAGCAATCGTGCAAAACAGCTTATACCTGCGTACCTATTACGTACGTCGGTTTAGACGCCTGCAGAACTCGAGAGAACCCGAGGCAGAGAAAGAGAGAGGATGGACGAAGAGGAAGGGAGGGAAACGCGGCGATCAAATATTTTCTTTAATTCTCGCCACCCATCTGGAGTCTTTTTTGATCCCCCCACGCACCTAAAAACGACGATGTTTCCCGTTTTTATTTCTTTTTAGCTTTCAGATGAGAGATGTTTCCTAGAGATGTTTCCTTTTTCACGTTTTATGCTATTAGTTTTCAGCAATTTTCATTCTTATACCGTTACAGATTTTTTTAATTGTAAAAGATGTAAGACTGGTGTCTTACATTTTTATCATTTTGACTCTAGGAAGTTTGTACGTAATAGTGTGCTTTTAATGTTTCGGTGTAGTTTTACAAGCATTAATCCATCATGTAGACGCAAAATCAAAAATAATAAAATACAATAAAATATATGGTATAAGAGAATTTGCATTTTTATATGTAAAGAACGTACCGAAATACGTAATTTGTGTTTCACATGTTCCAATTTAACATGCGAAGGTAATGAGTAGTTATTTCCGTAGCAATATTTGTATTTTTTATTACTTTTGACTTTGAAAAACGTTTACACAGGGTGTCCGAATTTTTCGGTAAATCGTGTGAAGGTAGGACGGGTTAAAGTGAACGAAAAAGTTCTCTATCATTTTGAAAATAACCACGTGCAATTTCGAATTATTAATTCCATCGCAGATATCTTATATATTGAAAATATATTTTAAAAAACTTTTTATTTAAATATCGAAAACTCTCTTTCTAACGTAAAATGAGTAATTATAAGAGACGAGACCAGGTGGATTATATAAAATTCTAGAGCAGATGGGCGGTGAGAGTTAAAACGGCGGGGATGCGCGCGAGGCGAGACCGCCGCGACGATTAAGGACGGCGCTGGACGACGCTCGGAGATTGTTCATGGCGCGCGATTAACAACCGAGCGCAATTTGCGCGAATTAATCCCGCTACGTATTTATACGGAGGTGGACGGTGACGCCGATGTAGCGGCAATTAGCGCGATTAAACGGCTCGATTGTACTGATGCGCGCGAATTTTACACGCGCGACGCGACCCACCACGGCACTCGTTCCGCGAGAGCGTGAAAACAAGCGGGAAAAAATGAAGAGCGACGGGAGAATACCTTCGCTCGCGAGTGTACGAACGGCGATATTTCTCGCCGACATTCGCGCGCGCATTTCGACGTCAACATCGTCGTCGTCGTCGCCGTCGTCGTTCTCTCGCCGCTGAAAACGTTTCCCGGCGAAAAGAGACGTTTCGGCCTCGCACCTCGTACTAACGCGGACGAGCGTCTAACTTTCTCGTAAATTCCGCCCCGACTCCTGTCCTACAGAACAACGAGAATTATTAACGTCGCGCATCCACCGTTTTCTCTCACTCACTTTCTCTCTCTCTCTCTCTCTCTTTTTCCCTCGCTTTCCCTCGCATTCTCTCTTCCTCCGTGTCGCCCGACAGACAGTTTCGCACGACTTCCACGATGTACGGTTTATAACGGACAAACTCCACTTTCTCTCTCTCTCTCTCACTCTCTCTCTTTCTTTTTCTCTCTCTCTTACTCTCTGTACTTATGCGCGCTGCTAACCCGGTATCGAAAAGGGGGTCGTTCCATACGAGAAAAATATTTGTCAGCCACGATAACGCGGAGATACGTTGGAAAGGGCGGAAGGGAGGCGCCAGAGGGAACAAAAAGCCGACGGACGGACGGTGGGAAAAGCGTGCTCGCGCGTTTTACGCTCGATTATCATTCCGCTATTGTCCAAACGCGAAATCGGAGCGGCAATTCGCGAGACGACCGGGGCGCTCGCGCGAGGATAACGAGTCAGGGTGCCCAGGAGCAGGGTGGAAATCGAGAAGTGGTGTCGTTTGCGGCAGGCGAGAAAGCGAGGACGAGGAGGAATAAAACCGTTAGAGAATCGAGAGAGGCAGGAGGACGGAGAATCGAGAATCGGACGGAAAGTTGATACTTGAGAACGAGAGAGAGCTAGAGAAGGAGGGAGTCGATGTGGACAGAGGGGGAGAAAAGAAGAAACGAAGGCAGGTAGGAAGGAAGAAGTGAAGAAACTTGACGTATGTTTACCAAGCCACTGTTGTTCTAGTCGGATTAATAGCGAAGTTCGTCTGTAGAAATGAACAGCTCTCTCTCTCTCTCTATCTCTATCTCTCCTTCCCTTACTCTTTCCGCCGTTCACCCACCCTTTTTCGGGATATAGCGGAAGACAGTAATTAACGACTTGCTGAACGATGAGAAATAATGAGTACCAGACAGTTGAGTTTGCAACCCCCTACACCTCTCTCTCTCACTCTCTCTCTCTCTCTCTCTTTCTCTCTCTCTCTTGGGTATCTCTTCCCTAACTCGGCTGTTTGCACGGTGCGGGGGCGACTAGAGAAACGTACGACAGTCGACGATTAATAATGATGTTAACAACCGATCGAAACAAATTGAAGACTCGGCGAGGACGCAAGTGCGACATTAGCTATCGGGAACTAATTGGTTGCTGGAAATATTTCAACGGGTGTTCGTTATTAACGCTGACTAATGAAGTGAGTGAAAGGACATTCTGCGAATCGAAAAACCGTGTCGGGCGCGCGGATCGTGTCTTTATTATCGCACGGGATTATCGCGCGCTCCGAGAGAATTCGGCCTCAATTATTCAACACATCGTTATCGCGTCAACGCCGTACATGAACGATCATCTTTATTTCGCTAATTTCCGAAGTAATTCCGGTCATTGTTTTCTTCTTCTTTGTTCCCGACGAAATACTACGAAATGTTTTAATCTCGCGAGAATCGTCGAAAATTAAATTGATACAAAAAGCTTATCGTGCTTTGAGAAAAAATTTGTTTGATTGTATTGTAATCGCCTAAGCGAAAAAATTATAATTAGGTGAATAATTTTTCTAGTAAGTGTTACTACAATGTCGATGGTAGCCTTTCATATACATTGCTACTAGTATTTTTTGGGTTGAAATAATAAGATATTTTTGAAATGATTATAATATTAGTGAGATTCTATCGGTATGCTTGTCAAGTAAAATAGAAGACGAAATTATTCAATCCCGAGGGCTTAATTATTTCGACCAACGTCGGCTTCAAATTTTTTCAGACATACTACGAGGATCTCTTGTTTTGCTTTTAATGCACGAAGAAAAAAAATATCTAAAAAATAGAAAGATATTTATTCAGTAGACACTAATAACATATTTACACAAATTTTTAGAATCACCTGATAGAATAAGATAAACCACTGCTTTCATGAAAATCTACAGATTTAAGCAAACATATATTTTCTCATTCGAGAAAGATTTTTCCCGATGTGAAAACATTGATATTAATAATATAAGTAAATATATTGTTATTAGTACTAAACAGAATGAAGATGTTTTATTTGAAAGATATTTTTTCCTCCAGGAGTACCCAAGCTTCCTACGACAATTTAACGGAAAAACGACAAATCTTTCGCCGTAGCCTAGTATATTAAGTGACGTCAACCAATTAACTGAGCAGCCAAATGCGCCCGATAATTCCCGACGTACTAACGTACGGCGGGAACGAAGACGTAAATGCGCTTATAATGTCTCCGTGGCCGAAGTCCTGGCTGGAAGCTCCAGTAGACGCGTGCGGAGTCTCCCAGCCGCCTTTACCGTACATCACTCAAGATATTCTTCGACAACCCGATATCGTCCCCGGCTAAGTTTTTACCAGCCACCTCCGAGTAGGAGGAGGAGGCGAAGAAGGGAGAGAACCGACGCGCGCCCGACCAGTCTAGCTGACTTCACTTAATTAAAAGAGCCGCCGGGATGGTCGTATTGCGTCGTCGTCCTCCTCCTCCTCCTCGTCGTCGTCGTCCTCGTCTTCATCGGGGAGACGTGCGTTATCTTCGTCGTTCGCCCGCCGCTAACCGGCGTCATACACACCCCGAGAACGCTCTTTTCCCCCTCCTCCACTTCTTCTCGTCTTCTTCTCGCCCGACCTTCCCACCGGCCGAGATCTTCTCCACCCCCCGGCTTCGCATCCTCGGCATTAGCCACCTGCTACTTGTCCCGTCTTGAAGTTACGCGAGCCAGCCGGTCACCCAGCCACCCCGCCTCGACGAAATGACCCTATTGCCCTTCGTGCAACCTGCGACCCTCGTCGCCGGCCGAGAGACTACGTCTATAGGAAAAGCCGCTGTCAATTTATC